ATGCAGATAAGTATGTTACACATCCTCAGGGACTGAGGGCAGGAAGAGGATAGGGGCAGAGAGAGAGAGAGAAGGAGTGGAGACAATGGTGCAAACAAGGTTTGAATCTACGAACGCAGAACTGGCGAGAACTTTGTAAGGTGACTTAAAAGAATCCGTTATTTCATTGCAAAGTGAGGTGCTTGAGAAATTGTTGGTGGCAAACTAGTTCCTCTGTGGCTGTGTGGTATTCTGTCTTTGTGCTTAGGTCTCCTAATGTCAAACAAGCACTGAGGGTTGCTTCAATAACCCAACTTCATCATCTCTGTCAAAAGGTTAACAGACAAGACAGACAAAACCAGCCTCAAACGTTGTCCGTCGATCAACTAATTGATGAATCGTTTCAGCTTAAATCCCACTACAGCCACTCCAGCTGTGTGGAGGTGAAGAATCTGAAGAATGGGTTGTGGGTGTAATAGTTAACTAAACACGTTTGGGTTGTGTACTTTTGGTCAAACAAAACGGGACATTTAAAGAGATCATCTTAGGCTTCCCAACAATATGCAATCTACAGACAAATGCATAACAAGGCTAAAAAACTAAAACACGTGGGATATTCTGAATTAGAATATTGCCTGCTTGCTTACTGAAACACGCACAAACACACACCTTGCAGTGCATATCTAAACACGTCCTGCCTTATCCTTTGTGGTGTTTGCTGTGATGCACACAAGAGGTTGCACTGAACACCCTGAGAGTACATGGAAGTTGGATTTAATATAATTTCCTGAGCAGTGCAGAAACGAATTCCAGGAACGTGTCTCCGAAACTGGGTGGAGAACAGTTAAAAGGAAAAAGGAACTGGTGACAATGGCTACACATTAAGTTCAAGGTCATTCACCTCGCTGGATTGTGTCCATTTCTGCAAATTTAGAGTGCTGTACTGTGAGGCAGATATTTTGAGATTACATGTCGTCATTGTGATCAGACATGGGTTGCATTTGAAATGTCACACTATTTATAAAAATATGAGGTCAAATTGAGAATGAAGTACGTCTCAATGTGTGAATTTTGTGTACACAAGAAATGCCCTGATTTGGCATGAACTTTAAAAACGGGATGTTGATTTACATTTGTGATGAACTATTTGCATTCAGTGGTAGCTCAGACCTGTAATGTGATTAGTCTTGTATAGCCAAACCGATCACAAGTGCGGTTTCAGTGATCGATACAGTGATAAAGAAAAGATGTATGCTTGAATGTTTAGTGAGAACAGCTGGCATTGTTAATTTAGTAGGCAGTATGCAGTACATACTGGTTGAGCATGGAATAGGCAGTACGCTAATATGGAATTTCAAACACACTCATGATCCTTCTTTTCTTCAAGGTTCCTCTGAAATCTTGTTATCATATTTGTGTCACACTGTGTCAAACACCTCATCATTCTCCCTCATCAAATGTTCCTACTCCACAAGCTAATCTACTGCCCAGGTGCATTTCCTTCCTGCTCATTGTGCCAGTGTACTGGAAAGCAACAGCGGTGAATTAGAGAGATGAAAAATCACCGGGCTCCTCTGGTGTAAGGAAACAATGCCAACAAGTGGGACTTTTCATATGCAAACAGGAGAGAGAAGTATCACTGACAAATGACACCGAACATCACCACCTGCACACACAAGACACCTATCTAACAATTTATAGGATGCAGTAAATACAATGAGTCAGAACAGTGACATCATTCCCTGAGTCTCTTTCAACAAATAAATATAAACAGTGTAGGACTTTTGGCCCGTTTCATACACAGTGCCCACATTTTACGAGACTGAACATACAATTAAGGTGCCTAATTCATTTTGTTAACGGCCAAACTGTTGAGTGCTCATGACTGACTAAGTCAAACAAATCCTTGAAACAAGCATGAAAGAAAGGCTGGCAGCAGTACTGGCCTGGTAATCTGTGTGTAGTTGATTTCAGCCCACAAACAGTGTTGCACCCTAAATTGAATGCTCGGAGTCACCACTTTAACCTCATGGTGTTCTGTGAAAGCAAACAGAAGTTACTGGTAAAATGGTTCGAAACTTTAGAATGCTTAGTTTACTGAAGAGAGTAATATATGTTATATTATAGGCAATACTGGTATTAGTTTGTTATTAATGCCTATAAAAGATTTTAAAAAAAGATTATTTGCCATAATCAGGAGCTACTGCGATCAGCAAAAGCACTGTAACATTATGGACTAGCTGTGTTCATGCAGCAGTATATCCCTGTAAGCTGTTTTTAATGGGCCTCAGAAAACAAGTGGCAGCCAAGCACTTTAATAATGGCAGCTGCTTCTGACTTTGGAAAATACACACTTGGGTTTAGACTCCTTGTAGACATTATTAGTGAGAAAAGACAATACACAAAACCTGCCATTTCAATCCTGGCATTTGAGGATTAGATGAAGTTGGAAAGGAGTAGTCACTGAAGAACTTGTGTTTTATTTTGTGTGGTCTGTCATTTTGCTTCTGTGGATTAACGACAGTGTCTCAACAGAGAACTGATACAACAGGTCTGGGGAACACAGTGGCCAAGGTGACATCTATTGAATTAGTCACTCCTAACTTCTGAACCTTCCCCTTGGGTAAAAAAAAACAAAAAAAAAAAACGTTAGCCAGAAGAGAAGTTAATGGATGGAGTAAGAAGAGCGTAAGAAGAGTGTCTGTGAATGAAAAAGCCTATTTCACATCATGGTGACAAACAGAGGAAGTGCTGCGGGGAAATAGTGCAGCCTGAAGCATTGATACAGAACTCTGTCAACAGTATCTGCTAGACTTAGACTTAGACTT